TCTCAACACAATTTTACTATCTTGATGCCATTTGAAGCATATTTTTGACATAAATATTAATTTCAAGTATTCAAAAGGGAACAAGAATTGAGATACTCATTTGCCGAACTTACTGTCTTCAATATTCCGAGACTAGAATGTCAATTAGAAAAAGCAAGCAATTTTAGATTTTAATATAACTTTGAAATATATTGTTCATAGTGCTTCACCATAATCTGAAGTTACAACAAAATTGATTAATAACGTCTTATAACTGTCTAGGAACCATCGGTGTAGAATAACATGATTGTTTAATGGGGATATCTTAACATATCTTTAATTTGGTATTTATGATTTTTTTTAAAATGTATGATCGTAGTCTGCTGGTTTGTAGAATTTGTACAAAGTTTATTATATAGTTAAAGTACAAGTTTCAATCTTTACAAATTAATTTTGATAGAAATAATCTCTTGAAATTCGAAGCTTAGAAAGGAATCATTTGGATTACACTTACATGAACTCAAGTAAAGAACTTTGGGAACTTATAGAATCATAAGCCTAGATAGTTTGTTATATGGGCAATATCCTGTGTAAGAACATCTCTTGTTCGATGAAGCTTACCCTAACTTTACGTTTTCGAACCTTTTTTTTAGGCCAAAACGAGTATTTGTTGTTACCGTTTTTGGCATGCGTGCGCGTTCCAATATGTTTTTTGTGTGTGTTCGTTATGTTGTGTGTTCGCTACTTCACCACTTGATTTACGGTACATATGTATGTATGTTTGTAGTATGTGTGCTTTTTTTTTAAATACATATATGTATATTCTTTTGTGATCTCTATAGTTGAACAAAGCACAACAAGCGCGATGAGGAATTTATTATTCCACAGGTAGTTGTACATATAGTACATACATATATACTTGTATATTCTATATACATATATGGATTGTTTGTTTGTGCTTGAATGGGCATGAAAGCGTTCCACAAATTAAGTTCAAATAACATTCGGGCACGCTTACTCTTTATCATGGCCCCCACACACAGTTTTTGATCCACCCCTCTCCCACTTCCACTCCCGATCCCGCTAACGTACCCGAGTCTGATTCCGATGCCGTTTGTCATGCGCCAAGTGGCGGCGTCATCGGCATCGTCATCATTGTCGGCTGATGTGCAGCGTTCTCGTGCTCGATTCGCATATGTATATTGTATTTTGTTTGGTTCTTTTGTATTTATTTTATATACCGATACGACAAATAATGTTGTTGTTCTGTGTCACGTTTATGGCGAGCAATTGCTCATGCTGTTCGCTTCTGGTTTCTATTTTGCTTCTGGTCGTTCGCAAGTGAAAGTAGCCGCCAAATATCTTCACAACATTCATCGTTCCTCGGGTGTATTGCTCTATCTACTATCCATGTAAACATACATATACAAGTACATATAGTAGTTTTATCAAAGGAAGATGACGCTGTAGTTTTCCCCATTGTGCGGGTAAGGTCAAAGCGCCCCATTCCTCTACTTGGGCCGATAAGTGTTGCCCTCAATTGGGGAGAATGTGTATTTAATGAGACCTGAATGCGCCGCTACTTACATGCGATTTACAGGAGACGACGCGCTTGCCACCGCAACCACAATAGCAACAACAATAACAACAACAACAAGAACAGCAAATAGCAAAAGCAAACAGCAAGATCAACAACAACAGTAACAATAACAAGACTAGAGCACAATCAGAGGCAGTGCGCAACCGCAGACGCACTGCATCTTTGAATTACAAGGCTTACAAGACAGTGTGACAAATGCGTCTACCTGGGTGGACAAAAATATCATAACAGAGTATTGAAAAAATAATATTAATGCTTACAATTTCATCGCAATTTAATAATAATGCCTACAATTTGATTTCATTTCTTCGTTGTACTTAACGGCTTTGTTGCGGTTGCACACAAGCTGTGATTAAGTACCACAGAGCCAACAGCTTAGTTGATTCTTAAAAAACTACAGTTATTTATAGAACCAGTATAAATACAATCTAATGGTACTTAAATATTGCAATAAATGTTAGCATGACAAATAATTGTAATACGGTTCTGAACAAAAAGAGTATTGTTAGTTCACATTTTGCCGCTGATTTTGTAGATTCTCCCATACTACTTATATTGTAAGTCAGGATCGAAAATTGCAAACTAATCTAAAGATCAGCTTAAATAAATTAATATCTACATTATGACAAATACATGGTCTAAGTAAAATAAAATATGTGACACACTATATATATAGTACATACATATTAAGGAAATTTTGCATACAAACTGTGCTATAACTAATATCAATATTCTGACCTTAAATATCCTAAAAAAATGAGTAACTTGAACAACTAACTAAAACCCGGGACAAGAAAATTGTTATTAGTAGATTTGAGGTAATACCACATTTATCTCTTACTTTGTTTCATTTCAATGCTTATTAATTTCCCTGACGTGGCTTTCATTAACAGCTATGCATTTTATGGATAAATAACTTATTAAAGCTCTCAAAAGCCCCTCCAAAGTGAATTGGAAGTTCCTCCACAATTTTTCGACTTCTTGGATAATCCTTGTTGAAAATTTATGGAATGTTTTTGAAAGGTAAAGTGGAATATACATATTTGATTTCGATACTTCTTGAGCCAATTACAAATCCTTATTCTTGAAATTTGCCAAGGAGCCGAATTCTATTAAGAAAGTTTTCAATAGCCTGAGCAACCAAGAAATGTCATAGCAGTTTGTATTGTTTGTTTTTGATTTTAATTAATTAAACAATTTGAAATACTAATTTGGATACTCATTAATATTTAATAGACTACCTATTATTTGTAAGCTCTAATCATCGTGTCATAAATAAATATTAAACAAAATAATATATACTACCTATATTCCCATTCTATAACGATGGGTACGAGCATCTTTAGAAAGAATTCAATACTTTATTTTTGACTAAGCAATTGTAAAATATGCCACTGTGCCTGGACAGGGTGGGGCGATTTGGGGGCCGCTTGGCGTGCGCGGCATCTTTCAAGTGGTGCGGCATGCTGACAATGCAACAGCCGCTTGCCACCAGCCGCCAGCTGGCAGTGCTTTTGAAGAAGTGCCGTCCAACGGTGGCGGCCGCTTCAAGAGGCTGCCACAAATTCGGTGGCGTGTTGTGCGTTTTGTTAGGCAGCTAAGAATTTTCTAAAGTACTCGCATCGACACACCACAGTGTGTGTGTGTGTGTGCGCCTCTAATTACATTGCAAATACTTGGGAGGCCGGGACCGCCACAGAGATCCGTCCATCGGGTGGTATGAATGGGTCCGCTAATGAGCGATCCCACTGACCAGGCCGGAAATATGCATGGCTTGACCGCATTGTTGTTTCTGTTCCTTAACTTTATTTTGCCACACATACACACAGATGTTCAGCAAAAATTGGTATTATTATACCCTTGCTAAGTGTATCTGGCCTTTGGTCTCATGTAAAAGGCCCTATAATAAAAGTTGTTATGTGAACACAATCGGACAACTATATCTTACAAAGAAATCTTTTTCAGACTAGATCAGACTACTGTACAGCCATACTAGCTGCCATAGAAACTATTAGGTTTTCGTATGGCTACCTTTTTTATTTAGAAATATAACGGAATCAAATTATATATTGCTATACTTATTGACATAGTACATGGTACACAGCTGGATTTGGATTAGAAATCTTTATCATATAGGAAACATTTCACTTATTATTATATTTGTATTTAAATATATCGTTTGTACAGCAAACTTTTTGTACGTTGTGCAAATGCATGTAACAGACAGAAGTACGCTTGGTAGACTCCCATAAGTTCCTGATCAGTAAAACAAGACTAGTCGATATGGGCATATCCCCCTCTTCTTTTGTCCGTCTGTATGAACGCAAAGATCTCGGAAAGTATAAGAGCTAGAATAACCAAACTTTGCGTTAATATTCCAAGCAAGTTTGTCTTTTCTTCCCCCACTTTCCGATATTATTAATTTTTGCATAACTTATGGCAAGTTTCATCAACTCTAAAATCAGTTATAGCCATTAATGCAATCTAAATGGGACCAGTTCGACTCACTTAAGTCTTCAAGCATTCAATTCTTGTTTGTTTATAAACATTTCGAAAACAATGTAGGAGAGGCCTGATTTCAAGTATGTGTTTGTTTGACAAACTTGATTTTCGAAAGATGGTCGATATAACCAATGGTATAACAAAGATTTAGTCGAATTTAGCTGTCAAAGGATCCATAGGCTTATATTTTATGCAAAAGTGGAGAAGTAACAACGTCTGTAAGAGTATATAACATTCGTGCCCAAAGCTATGTAGGTGTTTACCTTTTTTTTTGTAAATTTTTTCGCGCTGCTTTTGGCTGAAATTTGAATGCGCCACATGGGCACGGGTGGGGATAGCTGGAAAACTGTGAACTGGAATTGTTGCCGCAGTGTGTGCAACAGAGCAGAGCCAAAAATTAATTCAGTTGCAGCATAGACGATGCCTGTTGTTGCTGTTTTTTTGTTTTTGTTTGCTTTTTGCCGTTTGTTTGCTTTGTTCGGTCATTTTATTTGAGTTACTCGCATATTTTGCCAAGCCTAACGTAGCGGATCACTCACAGGTCACCGGCGGAGGGAGATGTAGAATCAGAAAGGCAGCAACAACGGCAGCAGCACGGCTAGGGAGCAGGAGCGGGGGCGTGAGGCTAAGGTTTTGGGATTGGGCGCAGTTTCAGCTTCAACTTCAGCCTCGGTTGTCGTTGCCTCACAGCGCATATGTACATACATATGTATATCTACATGCCATACTATACATATGTATGTATGTCTGTATGTATGGCTGTATGTATGTCTGTATGTATGTATGTTTGTCTATCAGTACATCCAGAATGTCTGTCTGTCTGTCTGTTTGGGTATGTACAAGTGTTCACATATAATAGGCGTGACAAGCGCGTTACGCTTGGCTGACGCCCAAAATAATCAAAGACAAAGACGTTGTAGATGACGATGATGATAAGGGGCGGGGAAGCGGGAACGATGTGAATAGCTCGAGTATGATAATTACAGAGTGTTCTCTACTTATTGTTATTACTGATGTTGCTGTTGTTTTTGTTGCTGACGTCGCTGTTGCCTTCGCTCTGCACATTTAGTAGCTGCTTAACGAGCTCGGATTCTTCAAAACCGCCCGTAAGTCCAAATTGTACCATTATGAAGAGGTAGGAAATAATTGCCGATAATATGATCAGAATGAATTTGTTGTCTAGCTTGAAAAAGCCCAAAATTTTGATTTCCAAATGTTGCACCTTCAACTGGCTGAGAAAAGATTCGGCCTGCGAAGAGATCGAAAATATAAAGGGATATCAATTTTTATACCCTGTACCCGTAGGGTAAAAACGGTATGTATATTAGGTTTGTGCAAAGTAGGTAACAGGCAGAAGGAATCAGCATGATGAGAGAAATCGATCTAAACATGTCCGTCCGTCCGTCTGGATGAACGCAAGGATCTCAGAAACTATAAAAGTTAGAATAACCAAAGTTGGTATCCAGGTATCCTAGGTCCGGGAAAGGACGAGTTTTTTTTTCGCTGTTCTTCACTGGCTCATACAGTCATACAAGCTAATACTTGTAGATGTTCAGTTTGGCTGATTTTATTTGAAATATAATCTCTCAAAATGTAAATATCGCTCCTTTGTGATATTTAATAGTTTGGTAACTCTAGCTCTTTCAATTTTCGAGTTTCTAACGTTCATACAGACAGACAGGCGTGCCACTGGATAGGCGAATATGTAAACGGATTTGTGTGATCTAAATGAATAACTATAAAGTACCGATATATCAGGTTATAAATGTTAATGCTTACACTCGCATCCCACCGCTGATCGATGTCCGTGCATACAATATCTAGGGGCAGGCGTTCCGGTAAGTGGGAGTTTTTGACCGCAGCATCCGCACACATCAGGAGCAATACCAAGTTGGCCATTTTGTTGCCCGCCATTATGAGTAAGACCAGACCCATTTCACTCTTTTCCAGATAGAGACAGAAGCATTGGTAGAGTAGTAATAAGGCCACCTCAAAGTTGTAGTAGACGCAAAAAAAAATTTGCCACTGACAGGCACTACAAAAACATAGGGTTAGATCGTATAACTCTCTATAGATGATAGCGCATTCGTCCAGCTCATCGGAATAGTCACAGAGAAGTTGCATGCGTCGATAGTCCGTCATGCGCTGGCCCAATAAATCCTTCTCCTCCTCAATGGGTCGCATGTGTTCTAGCATTTCCTGGATATGGGTACCCATTTCCTTATACATAAAGCTCGTAATTAGTAAGGCTGAAATAAGCAGATTGTAAATGCTTAATTCTTGAAGATTATAAAGGTTTATAAGCTTTTTATACTCTGTACATGAAATGTACAAGAGTATATTAGGTTTGCGCGAGCTGAAAAATGTAACAGGCAGAAGGAGGCGTGACAGACCCCACAAAGTATATATATTCTTGATCAGCATGACAAGACGAGTCGATTTAGCCCTGTCTGTCTGTCTGTCTGTCTGTCTGTCTGTCCGTCCGCCCGTCTGTCCGTCCGTATGATCACCAAGATCTCAGAGACTATAAGAACTAGAGACACCAAATTTTGCACAAAGATGCCTTATGTGTGTATTCTATACGAGTTTGTTTTATTTTTTTTATTCCCCCCCCCCCCCCCACTTCCCCCCTATGGGGGTTTTCCCGATTTTCCATTCGTATAATCGCCTATATCTCGGAGATTATAAGACCTAGGAACACCAATCCAAGATGTCTTGTGTGAATACGCAGAAAATGTATAAGTTGGAATTTCCCTCCCTCCTCCCTCTCCTCCGCAAATCGCGATTTTCTCTAACTCCCGTAATTCTTGGAATTTCGAACTAATTTTGTAAATACCCCCAGTTAGTAATCATGTGTCTGTACGCCAAGTTGCACTATGATAGACCGATTTAACAAGAAGTTATAGCCATAAATATATTTGCTGCTGCAGCGCTGCTCAAGCGCTGCCCGCAGCTGTTGTTGATGCATGTGTACAGAGTATTTCAAAGTCGGGACACCCGACTTTAGCTTTTTTACTTGTTAAGTGGCAAATTTTGGTCAGACAGGCAAATAATTTTCACATTATATTGGTACTTCAATAAGAACTCTATTTCTAATTATGTGCGCTGATAAAATGTCTCCCTAGATTATCTGATAATCAAAGATTATCATATTATCATATTATTATATTATTATATTATTATATTATTATATTATTATATTATTATATTATTATATTATTATATTATTATATTATTATATTATTATATTATTATATTATTATATTATTATATTATTATATTATTATATTATTATATTATTATATTAATATATTATTATAGTATTATATTATTATAGTATTATATTATTATATTACTATATTAATGTACTATTATATTATGATATCATACCCATAAAACACATGTCCAGCACAAAGAGCATACCCAGCCACATATACATGCCGAACATGGCGGCCAGAAGGCGTCCTTCAATCACCACATGATTAACCATAAACAGTTCCACCATTTCGTGAACGCAACCCCAAAGAGTTATAAAAAATTTGAGCGTACAGAGCACCAGAAACTGGGTGGGAAGCATCCTCGATGATTGCGTGAAGGCTGAGATGCGTCGATAAATTGCCAGATATCGATTCAATAAAGATAAAATTTTTCTTTCACTACGTGATTGCACAATAAAAGATCCAACTGCAAAAAGGACCACCGATAAGGATTGCAGCTGAGCAAATAGATCTGCATAATTTTTAGGGGATTTTTGGAACTCAAAAAAGAGAGCGGGCAGCACTCCCCAATAGATAATCACAACGACAAAGCGCCAGATGAGCAGAAGCCATTTGTTTCTCCGCCGACGGTTTGGAGTGAAGAGCAAGGGATTCCGATTCAAGCGGCACGATATCAGCGATAAAGCACACGATACTTTATAGAGAAATAGAAGCAAACGACGTGTATATCTTTCGGACCGACTCTGAAGTATAACTTTTTCTTTCCACTCTGGTGTACTGTGCTTGAGCATGGCTAGAAGTTGACTATTAAACAATTATTTAATTTGACATAGCTAGACCAATCCTTTTTCAGACACAGTGGTCTGAACTACAAGTATATTTATACTTTCTTGATTTGAAAAATTAGTTCAAATATATAAAAGTTACTTAGCTTAACATTTTTGTAATATAAAAAACTCTTCAATTTTATTTAGCGATATAATAATTATGTTTAATACTAAACTTGTCTTATCTTTAAGAAATGAAACCTTAACATATTTAAGTTATTTTAGCATATATCTGAAATTTGTGTCTATTACAAATCTATTCGAATCTATTTAGATTCTAGAATAAATTTAAGTAATTTTATTAGAATCTAAGCATTTTGGAAATTTAAAAAAGGGTCTACTGCCGCTCAACATCCTCGATAGTATAGTGGTTAGTATCCCCGCCTGTCACGCGGGAGACCGGGGTTCAATTCCCCGTCGGGGAGGAGGTGTTCGTATGTAGCGTTTTCAATTTTTATTGCGTTTTTTAATTAAATTTTTGAATGGCCGAAGAAGAATGGCAGAAGAATTAACACAAGTCGTTAAATATAGTTTGCATTCATAAATTAAACATTTTTGTGTTATATCATTAACAAAAATGTTGCGTTTTTATAAAGCCAGCCTTTTGGTTTTGGTTTCCCTATAAAATGCACTCAGAAGAAATTGTGTTAAAAAAGGAGAAGCTACCTTTTTGAACAAAAAAATTATAAATTTTGAATTTAAGTATTTAATTTCCCAAAATTTGTTGTCTATTATTATCGATACTATTATGTTTCCCAATGAAGACAATATATCCTCGACTTTACAGTTAGGTTTGATTCGAAATTTGATTCAAGCAAGCACAGTACGCAAATAAGTTAAAAGATATCGTATCCAAAGCTTAATTTCTTAACACAAAATTTGGTTTCTAAATCTTAGTAAGCTCAAATCAATCAAAACCCCATATACTATGTGTATACATACTTATAAGTCGTATACTTTTGGGCAGCTCTTCTCTTTTCTATTACCCTCTAGGCAGTGTGCCCTAGCCTGGTCCCCTGCGATTACATGCAGGATATATATAAATATCAAGGGCATATTGTCGATAAGAAAATACAATATTTATTTTGCTGTTGTTGCCTTTGTTGCTGTTGAATGTCGTTGCTATTTTATTAATTGAATGTGTAGATATCGGCAATTGCTTTTCACGCTTGGCTGAGTACCTCGCTGACTGATTGACTCCCTAGCTGACTCTGTGGCCTGGTTCGTGCCTCACATATTGCCGCCGCATTGATGGACAGGCACGCCCCTTCCCCGGTCTGGGACCAGGCTTTGACAGGCTGCCCCCATTACAAAAATTTTACTTCAATTCAGTTGCAAACAATTAGTAATGTGCTGTACATACGAGTGTGTATATATGAGTGGGGAATTGTGGGGAATTGTTGCTGTTCCTATTGCGACTATTTTGCTGTTGTTGCAAGTCGCCAAACACGTTTGGCCATTAGAATTCCGTCAGTTCAACGAACTCGGGTGCTATCCCAGGGAGTAGGCAGCAGACAACAGGCAGCAGCATTCGACAAAGTAGGAAGTGTTGTAAGCCTGGCCCGAGCATGTGAACGACTTTGACTGGCAATAGAAAAAGTCAACAGTCCACAAGTTGATTGCTAGCTCCAGCAACGGCAACGGCAATGGCAACACAACATCAACAACAACAACAACAGCAGCAACAAAAAGAGCTAGAGCAACTAGTTGCTCCTGGCTTCTTGATCATTGCCTTGTCGTCGCAGTCGTCGTTGTGGCAGCAAATGGGCGTGCAACCAGCCTTAGCGTTCATCCATAACTGGTTTACAGGTTGGGCAGCATCAGCATCAGCCTCAACATCAACATCCACATCAGCACCAACACGAGCAACCGCCCCAGCTCCAGCTCCAGCTTCAGCCCCAGCATATTAAGTATAGATAGCTCCTCAGGTCTAGTCAAGCGGCAGCAACATCCTTTACTGGCAACCAGTTTACGTACAGTTCTTACAACTTTGCGTGTTATTAGAGCTCAAGTACATAGAGTAATTGCAGCCGCATCAGGAACAGCAGGCAGCGCCCCAGCAGCCGACGCAGCAGCAGCAGCAGCAGCATCTGATGTTGACCCCAACGTGCGACGAGGCCAATGAACTGTCAGTAAAGACAATAGGGCTGGGGCATCAACATCAACATCTCTGCCTATATTGCACACTGGTTCCGGATCACATACAATGTAGAAACAACAAGTAGGGAAGCTAAAGTCGGGTGTCCCGACTATGAAATACTCTGTAGATATGCTATGTATAATTATAGAAATTTACAAAATTAAAAAAAAAACAAGAGAGAACGCTACGGTCGAGCAAGTCCGACAGTGAAATACCCTGTACCCAGGTAAACTTCCGACGCTGAGGTATATGCGCCTCTAGCAGAAGCAAAATGAAGAAGTAGAGCGAACTTGATGCTGCAGCTTGTGGGCGTAGTACATACTGGAGTGAAATTTATTCGCTAATAACTTTTCTTAGAATTAACCAATTTACATGAAATTTGAAATAAAAGTAGATTATGTATTATGTATTTATTATGTTTGGTTAAGATTGCTTTTGTAATGTGAACGGACCTAGGAGAATCTGGATACCAACTTTGGTTGTTCTAGCTTTTATAGTTTCTGATTTCTCTCTGCAGTCAACCAAAGTATCAGCATCAACAACAGCTGCGGGCAGCGCTTGGGCAGCAAATGTATTTATGGCTATAACTTCTTGTTAAATCGGTCTATCATAATGGAACTTGGCAAACGGACACATAATCACTAACTGGGGGTATTTGCCAAATTTAAATTCCAAATTCCGAACATTCCGGGAGTTTGAGAAAATCACGATTTGGGGCGGAGAGGGGCGGTGGAGGGGAATTCCAAATTACACATTTTCTACGTATACACATAACGCATCTTGGACTTCAAATTTGATGTCCCTAGGTCTTATAGTCTCCGAGATATAGGCGATTATACAAACGGCGTTACGGAAAACCCCCCATAAGGGGGAAGTGGGGGGAAAAAGGTCCCATCTTTGTCAGCTTAAACCGCGGAAGTAGGAATTGCTTCTTCACGTATTTAATATGTTCCTGATTCTTGCTTTAAAAAGTATAAGAACAAAATATTAAAATATATATAGCTTAGAAACAGTACTGCTTATAGTATAGTTTGTGGATCCTGAAAAGTGGTCGCTTGAATACAAAAATAATAATAATACTTGTAGTTTAATGCTTAGAAAGTGTGTAGATCTGTGCAGTTCTTCAAACCTTTACTCACATAATGTCCACTAAGTTTTCAATCTTTCAATTTATAGTCGTGCTCTGAACGTTTTTTCAGTTTAATAATACTCGTATGATTGTTAGGTGATGTGGCACGCGATCGCTTTTGATTCCTGTAATAACTTTATCTCTAGCCCTGTAATCTTTTTGTTGTTATTCAAACGACAGCAGACAAAAGGTCGATTACAATTAGCCATATTTGAATTCTGAGTGATTAATAAATAATATATAGTAAAAATATTAATACTGTGCATTTTTATACTCTGTACATGAAATATACTTGTACAAGAGTATATTAGGTTTGCGGGAAGTGAAAAATGTAACAGACAGAAGGAGGCGTGGCAGACCACACAAAGTATATATATTCTTGATCAGCATGACAAGACGAGTCGATCTATGTCTGTCTGCCTGTCCGTCCGTCCGTATGAACACCTAGATCTCAGAGACTATAAGAACTAGAGACACCAACTTTTGCACAAAGATGCCTTATGTGTGTATTCTATACGAGTTTATTTTTTTTTTGATTTTCCCCCCCACTTCCCCCCTATGGGGGTTTTCCCGATTTTCCATTCGTATAATCGCCTATATCTCGGAGACTATAAGACCTAGGAACATCAAATTTTAGTCCCAGATGCCTTGTGTGAATACGCAGAAAATCCCCAGGAAACCGCGATTTTTTCTAACTCCCGTAATTTTGGAAATACCACCAGTTGGTTATTATGTGTCCGTGTGCCAAGTTTCACTATGATAGACCGATTTAACAAGAAGTTATAGCCATAAATATATTTGCTGCTGCAGCGCTGCTCAAGCGCTGTTCGCGGCTGTTCTTGATGCTGGTGCTTTGGTTGACTGCGAACATGCTTACACAGACACGAATAGATGCGCATAGGCATACATACACTCACACAGACGCAATTGCTATGTAAATGTGCAATTATACACCCTTTACGTGAGTTCGAATACCGAGAAAGGTAAAATCGATCAAATTTTTTTTATTTTAATTTTCTTATTTTTTTTATTTTCTATAATTATTGTAAACATATGTACAGAGTATTTCAAAGTCGGGACACCCGAATTTAGCTTTTTTACTTGTTGTTGCTGCTTTGGTTTAACTTTGTACAGCATATAAACACGCAGAGACACGATTGTGATGTAAATGTAAGCTTTTGAAACAGTACATGAACATGTCTCCACTTTTGTATATATGTGTTAAATAATTTGTATTTAATTTAAATAATATAATTTTTTCAAATTAATTAAAATTTTTCCCATTTTTTCCTTTTTGGTGGGAGGTACAGGGTATTTAAGAGTTGAGCGTGCTCGACTTTAGCATTCCTTTCTTGTTTTAATTTTAAAACTTTTAGAGGCACCCCAAAAAACTTCCTATTCATTTATCAATTGATTACGATTTGAATTCCTCATTATTCGAATTATTTTCAAAATGTCATTGTCCAGAGCAAGCAGGAATATAATTTGCACTGTTTTTAAGTGAAACTTTTGAGGGGATACTTGTTACTTCACGGTTATGTGTGCTGGATCGGCACGGTTTCGTTACGGATATGACGTCAGCCAGAAGCACAAGCAAAAGACCGATCGCGTGCGAACTTACAAAAACAAAATAGATTAAGTTGTCGCCAGCAAAACGCACTAGCAGATTGAAATACACGTAGTGCGTATGTCGTT